GAGGGCCTACGGCAGTCCTTTCCGTAGATGTCTGTTCCTGGGTGAGGTATTTATGCTCAGACAGGTCGCCATAATCGGTAGATGTGCCGAGCTCCCAATGGGACACGAGCTGCGGTCTGTCCAGCTCAGGCTGTACACCCTCGGTTGCTTTTAACGAGAGCTTTGGTTGCCAAGGCTTCTGAAAAAAACTTGAACAAATTGCTTCTGCTGCTGCGGGCTCTAGAAAACCTTGTCGCGACTGTGACAGAAAATGATTGTCACGTGAGCGTGTCGAATTACCCTTTTTAGGCGATCGCTTCCATCGCAGCTCCGCTAGCTTCGACTTGTACTATCACCGTTGAATCGACTGGTCTCCTTGACCTCATCCAACCATGTCCTGGCAAGGTGCGTCCCATCGTGTTCATGCACAACCCCGCCCACCGACATTTCGTCCAGCATACGTTGACACCAACCTCATCGGTAGCGGAAAGATCGCAAAGGCCGCCATCCTAGGACTGCAAGGCGGAGTATGGGCAACGAGCGCTGGCTACACCGTGCGTGGCCGATTGTCCATCTGTGGCCCCCTCACTAACATCCAGAGTCAGCTTTCTGTGGAAGAGCAGAAGGCCGTTGTGGCCGCCTTCAGCAATTTGGAGGGTGTGCAGAGTAACGGATTGCGACTCGCGGGTCTGAAGTTCTTCACAACTACGGCGGACGACCGAGTTATCCACGGGAAGAAAGGGGTGCGTTTGCTTATTGGCCGGTGTTGTGCTGGTTGGCCTGACCTGCGCACCAGGGCGATGGATATGTAATAGCCAAGACAAAGCAGGCGATTCTCGTCGCCGAGTATGTGCAACCCGTCCAAGCGCCCGAAGCCGCTCTCGTTGTGGAGGGATTGGCAGACTACCTCATTAGTGTCAATTATTAGATGGCGTAACAAAGAGAATATGTATCTTAGCATGAACCCCAGGCGTCGAATATCTTATGGTCCAAGTGCAAACTCTCACTACTACTCCGCCCGCCAGCAAGCCATCACGTAACTCTCTCTTCCTCGAACGGTCACTCAGCGCGCGTACCATGGTTTCCGAAGTGAACATCACAGTTACGATAACATACAAGGCTTCGAGCTCGAAAGCCGCCATTGCAACAGCTGACGAGGCAATTCCTGTAATCCGACAAGGCACTCGTCCTATCAAGTACCGGCGGCAACGAGCTTACCAACGCACTAGACCTCTCTGCTCTCGGTTCACCTCACCCTAAACAGGCCAATATCACCGTCGTCTGGCCCGGCACCGTGCGCTTTTTCTGGACATGTCTACCAGACTCCGTAAGTGGGGATGTGTGGCCCACTCAGAAATTCATTCAAGCCTCTAGCCAATACACCAAACAGCCAGATCTCTCGATACTGAGATGAACCAGAGCACAAACTTTCGACGTACAATCGCGTCGCTCTCCATGTATTGCTTTCATCCTGTTCATTTCGATATCGATGACACGTTGCTGATAGTGAACGTATTTCTGTTCGCGAGGCGGAGACTCTACCTTCCCCGTCGTATGGCTTGCTGCATTTTGTTCTCTCTTCGAGTAACGCGAGCTTTCAGCTCGCATACCCTTGACTGGCGGCCAGACGCAGGTCTTTTCGCTGTGCCAATGAGACCACAATCACCTTCCGGCGATAGTATGCAGAGCATTGCGTCTAGCAACCAAACCCGACCCAGACGAGATGTGAGCCCGTCATACTTCTCCATCTATGCTTACTTTTGCTACCAGTCTATCGCTTCTGGTTCAAAATTGACCTGGGATCGACCGTCGGAGGTGAGCCCAATGATTTTGTTTCCTGATCTTACACAGATACAGCACACGGTGAAAGTCAAGTCTGAGCCTATCTACGATATACCAATTCCACCGCCGGTAAGCCCCTTGCTCACTCCGCACCATCTCCTTGAGAACCAGTCGTTAGTACCACCGCGGCGTGGAGGATGTCATTGTGAGGCCAGATTCTTTGCAGCCATCGGTCTCTAAGCTTCACCTCAGGATGTTGACTCACTGGCACCGTCTCAGTCTAGCAAAGAAACATCGCCCCGAATATGGAGACGGGATCGATATAAATCGACATCGGACGCAAGTCCGACCAAAATGAGCTACCAGCGGACGGATGGCCAAACTTTGCAGCGAGAGCTTTCAGACATCCGTAGGCGGATGGATGCAGAGGTGATGCGCGAGCGTGCGATCCTGGCCGAACTTCGCGCGCTAGGTGTGGACGATACTGCTTCAGATGTGGATATAGCCAGCGATACTGGTAAGCTGTTTTAACTTTAGCGTCTACTCGCATGCAACTCATCGAAATCCCTGAAGCGGTCAGAGTGCGTTTGCTGCGGGTCGAAGCGCAACTGGCGGAAGAACGCTCCCGGCGCAAGGAAGCTGAAAGGTTTGCAGATGACGTGCGCAGAGAGTGCAGAGCGCCGTTTGTGGTTCCTGCTCTCTTGGACGCGTTTGCAGAAATCTCTAAGCTCACGAACGAGACGCTGTAGATACTCCGTAACTATAAGTTCGGAGAGCAATGCGCTTCGTTTGCGGATTCATTCAGCCGCTGTAGTCTTTTATGACGTCTTATGGTCGCGACCCTGAACTCGATCGGACAGTCACAACGCACTTCTTGTCTTCGACTCCCACCACCATTTTTCTTTCGCGCTAACATGGGCAAGACATAGAGCTCTACTTGCATATAAAATACCGCCAAAATCCCAGCGATCCTGTCGACTTTACGAGGCCACCGTCGCGAGATGAGGGCGTTGACCTCCTACGTTCCCACCTTACCGCGCTCAAAATTCCTCATCCCAAGGCGGCAACGATTAAATTTATCCCCGGAACCGGCGTCGAGTTCTTTTGGGAAACCACCAGGGATTCGGTGGGCCTGGTCCGGCAATATCCAGAGACTTCATGACAATTCAAACGTAGGTATTGCACGCTACACTTGATACCAAAATCAAGCAGCTCCTAAGCAAGGATTGCGCTATCGGTTTCTCAATGTGAGTTTTAATTGTATTTCTTCGTCTATAATGCTCATATCGTTTCAACAGCGAGCACATCGAGATGAAGGTTCAAGCTAAAAGCAAGACGCGTCCCACTGGGTTAATCCAGGACAACGCACGAATGGTCGCTTTCCCATTTTTTCCAGCTGCAGTCGAGAATGGGACCAGCTCGAACCCAACTGCCGCTTTTATCGTTCCGCCGTCCGCACCGCTGTTATTGCCTCGGGCGCACTTCGTGTCTCTTCCTTCCGCTCAGGCCACTGAACCCTCTGAATTTTCTTCTATTGAGCCTGTCGCCCACCGTCCTCACATCCTCAGCTCCTTCAAAAGCACACACTCTCCGAGTACACCTCAGACTTCTTCAGAACCCACCCTGCCAACTTCAGAAATCGTAGACAAAGCCGAACCGTCAGCATCTAGACCGAGTGAGCCATTTGGTCGTTCGGTGAGTAAACAGCGGCGTCCTCTCATAAATCCGACGCCAGCTCAAGTCGATTCGGACTCAGTGTAGGGATTCCGAGTCGATTGCCTCGTCTGCTCCATCTTCCAGGCACCCGTCGCCTGGTGAGATAGACAACAATGGCCCAGTATGTATCCTTTCCGAGCCGTCTTTTGGAGTTGTTGGATTCATTTCTATGCCGATGCAGGCAGCTACAGCGCCACTTGAAGGCGAGATTATCGGCGACGAACTCGAAGAAGATGCGCATATCGATGAAGAAATGGAAATGGCAAGTCCTTTCGGACTTTGAGAATATGTTTGAAACTCGCAACACCATTCAGTCACCCTCCCCTTCACCAATTCCCGGCTTGGGTGGTTATATGCAAAATCCAAATGGTGAAGTTGTTCGTTGGATTTTGGGCAGAAACTGTGTAACCTCCCGACCATAGATATAGTCGATAAGATGTCCTTGGAGCTCTTGGATATTCGCCGGGAAATTTCGGTCCACTTGACAAAGGAACGTGTGATCATCGAAGCGCTCAAGGCACTTCACGCCGGCGTTCCCGACGACGAAGACTTGTCTTTGCAAGATCGGATATTCGGTAAGGAGTTTCTTTAGTTGCGATCGGAATCCTTGCGACGGATGTGATAGTTGAGCAAACGCGAGTGGATTTCCTCAAACGCGAACTAGAACGTCTCCGAGAAGCCCGAGGCCAAGTTGAAAACGCGGTTAAGGAGATCGAAAAGCGGCCACCATTCGCGTGTTCAGCACTGCTGGACGTGTTTGTGGGGATATCGAAACTTAGCACTCTTGCTCTAGACGTGTCTTCTTGATGCTTTCGTTATTTAAATTGCTCGTTAGCATGTACGGTACTTGTCGTTGTTTGACGCGTTCGTAGAGCCTCGGAGGCGCAAGGTTTAGTGGGAAAAACAGTCGTTACTACCAAACTGGGCGCGGCGATGCGGCAAGAGACGAGTATCAAAAGTGTAAAATATATTTGTTCTGTGGCGAGAAGAGAACTGTTTAGTGAAATATGAGTGAGTGTACGGTATCGTCGTACCTGTAGCAAGAAGAGAATCGTTAACGCCACCAGGGGTAGATCTGAGATAAGATATAGATGAGATAAGATGAACAATACTCAACCTACAAAACTTGGTGATGTTGGAAGCCTGCTTGCCACTGGCCAGACTTGGACTAGGGCTCGGCGCCGTACAGCTCTGGCACAGGGTTAGTGGTGGTTGGCAGCGCCCAGTATGGTACGAGTACGGTACGGCTACGGCCGTACTACCGTACTTTGCGGTACGGTGCCTTGGACAGGCAGCGCTGGGCAGATGCAGCAGGGTAAACAGGACTGGGCTGTGGATTCCAAGGATGACAAGAGTGACTACTACTGCCTGCAAGCGGACGTCAAGAGAGATTTAAGGCAATAGGTTTACTGGGTGCTCACAGCTAAATTACTAGTGCGGCGGGTCCTGGGATGATATGAGGGGTCGCACCGGCAGTAAGGCTAAGATATACCACTACATTTATGATCTTAAGACAACCAGGAGGGCGTATGGTGTAGTGGTATCACTCATGCTTTGCAAGTCTTGCCGTTTCACGGTAAAACCGGATGTATGCGGTCTAGGGTTCGAACCCCTATGCGTCCATTTTTGGACGTTATCCGGGTGAATATTCTGCACAGAATGGATGTTAGAGCTAATATTTTGAGTCAGAATTGCTTGCGGAATGTCCAGGAACATTTTGTGGACCGTTTTGATGAGGTGTGTTCGGATAGCACCGCCACTGATCGCATCTCTTCATTTAAACCAAGTACCATCCCGAGCTGACCAACGTCGCTTCGAGGACTTGTAGATGCTCCAGTGTTGGTGCCACGCAACTTGTTGTTACGCGACGTGCTACAACTCTTTATCAAGGCCTAATGCAGGAAGGGATTTGGCAAGTAGAATCGTTAAACAGCGAAGACCAGCCGGCATGATCAAGAAAGCGGTCTCTTTATGCATAAAGCAACTTACAGGGTTCCGCGTCATCAACGACTTGCAGAATCCCTCAGAAGAATAATCCGTGGAACCACACGAGCCCAGTGGTCCCAAAGTACATGCAGCTCGTTTGACGCTGGGGTCAAGTTTGAACGCAGTTCTTCCAGGGGAGCCCCGGCGTCTGGGTGTCGCGACAAGAGCGGCGACAGACATCCACACGCATCCTTGAATACCAAGCCATTAATCTGGCTCCTGCAAACTAGGTAGCCCAACGCACAACCACTTTCGTCGGCAGATCCAGAGCTCGCGTGCAGAGAACCATACCCACACTGCGCTCACATCTACTGTACGGGCCCTTGCCTGTAAGGACCTGTGCTAGATTCGTATTTGCCAAGCGCGTCTAAAAGCATGCTGTCGGCGGTCCAGCAATGGCGATGGCGAATTATATGAGGCGTAGGACCCAAAGAGCTAGACAGCTTCCATTGAGCGATATTGCACTAACTTCGTGAACTCCCTGTAGGTTATTCGGTGGAATCGACGATGTGGCCGATCGTGTAGGACTCTAATAGAAGGTCTGTACCAGAACTCTCTGAAAAATCCCACATCTGTTGTCACAAGCGTAGGCCGTTCGAGCCTAGAGTCGAACCCACGCAAGCGTCACAAGCGGTGTTTTCCACTAGGTCCCCTGTTTCACCTTGCCTCGGAAAGCGCAAGGATGCATAGCCAAGATCCCTTGTAGACGTCTTCAGAGACCCTAATGGCAAGGAACTCAAGGGATCGTCCCGACTTTACAAAATCCTGCTCTCTGAATCAGTCTTCCTGATATGGAAGATTAGATGTGAGGTTGTAACCCAGGATGATGGTGTACCCAAGGACGAGGCCAAAATACATAATAGATGGCTGGCCATCATAAATGAGAGACTCGAAATGGACAAGAGCCTCACAAACCAACGACGTTTCGGTAAAATCCATTCAATCCACCCTTGTTTAGTCCTCGACACGTGGAGAGACACTCTCGCAGATGAGACACAGCTACCTGACGATTGGATTCGTCAAGACGGGGTTTTAGTGGGTATGGCGCCAATGAGATCCTTAGGATCACCGTCCTTGGACGAGGCCGGATAAGATACGGTGCGAGCCCCACACACACGCTAACCTTGGCATCTCCTCGCGGTATAGCTTAGGTAGTTTTAGTGTAGTTCCCTAGGGGGCCTAGGCCCCTGGATTTACATGCTCTGGGAAGCTGCTTTAGCCAAGATTATGCCAGACGCGCTAATAGCAACGCGGGTTCTGCAAGTGAATCGTCAACTGTCGCCACAAAGAACTTGAACCAGGATGATTGTTAGTCCTGTGGTTAGCGCCAGGGGCCAGATGGAGAAACTGCATCATCGACGATAACACGCGTCGGCGGCGCAAATGGACGGGTTTGAAAACCCTGGGAGGGGTAAATGCTCGACTACTCGCGATGCCGATGGCCCGCGACATGTTCCGAAGCTCGAGGTAAATGAACGGTGTTATGTGACATATGTGACGATCATCTTGCGCGGCTCGACATTGTCGTTCTCGCTCATGGGTTGTCTCTTGCAAGGCTGGCAATTCACACAGATGGCAAGTCTTAGAGGATATCCATTGTCTCCAGGCTAGAGACGCGTTAGGACGCGTGGAAAGAACTCCGCTTACATAATAAGACGGCACGCCGCCAATCAGACGGAGGAGTTTTCGACTACGGGGTCTGTAAAAAAGACTAGGGTTCAACGTTCAACGTCGAGGCGTGGGGAGCATCTCGCTAAAGAGCAGGTTTAATTCCCCCATACTAGTAAATGGCAGCTGAACTGACGGAGCAGCCACTGGCAGGTAGTATCTTGCACGACTCGGAGCCAAGCGGCAGAGGTGGGCCGGGCAGTTCAACTGAACGAACCGCTGAACCTCGAAGAACACCAGTGGTCTTCTCGTAACGGAGGAGTTTTCGACTACGGGGTCTGTAAAAGAGACTAGATGATTGTTACGAAATGGAGAGCACTTGAAGAGCCACTTTAAAGGCGCAGAAAGTAATGGACGTTTGGGAAATATCGAATAACAAAGTTGGGAGGGTATTGTACCTGAGTGGTACATCATACGAGCAATGTCGCCGGGGACAACAATTGCAAGGGAGCGCAGTCTGAATCGGAAGCAACACTCCGCGCTGCGGAGGTATTTCCACGACGGCCGTTGCGAAGAACGCCTGGCGATGGCAGAATGCGTGTGTATGTAAGATAAAAATACAGCGGTGTTGGATACGGATACAGCTCCCAGTGTTTCGGTAACTAAGAGGTCAATTGTGAGATAACAAGCAAGATGTATGAGTTGGGTCAGTAGATTAGATGCTATGTACAGCTAGAAGAAAGAAATCAAGGCGGAGGGAAGGTTGCTAACGGTGGCGTATACTCATCGCTACTGCCTTGCTTGCGTTTGAGGCTAGGGCGCTTGGAGAGGGCAATCTCGCCCATCTTGTTCTCCCTCGTCAGCTCCGTCGGACTGGCCAACCGCTTCCCAGTCGACGGTGAGCTTTGCGTGTCCTCGCCCAATATCAACCGTGGACGGGAGCCACGAGGACTAGCCACACCGCGCGGCGGCAGATGCAGTGCGACCCTCGCCCGGGCACGCTCTTCGTCCGCAACCATCAACGCGCCCTCGATGATGGCAGCATGTACAAAGACGTATTGCCGCAGACTCTGGCACAGACTCATGCGCTGCTCGCGCATGTCCTGCAGCACCTCCGAGATAGGGCTGTCCAACGTGCTGAGTCGTATAGGCTCAGGTCCGTCGTGGACATGTAGAGCCCGCGGCTGCTTGTAGTCGACCTGCCGCACACTGAGAGTCTCTTGCGCTGGTGTGGCCTCGGCGCTATCGGCCGATCGGACACTGCGATGAAAGGCGACCGAAGCTAAACGCGCTAGACCGTGCTCGGTGAAACTCTGCGTTGGGTTTTCCGTATGCGGGACAAGCCATGGTGCGGCTTTCGAGTTGCCAGGGTTAGGGCCAGCAGCGGAGGGATCGGACGTTGTACGCAAGCGGTGGTCGAGATGTCCTCGTCGTACAGACAGCGGCACAGCTGGTAAAGTTGCTTTTGGGGGAAACGATCCCGACATCGCCACGTCGTCAGAGGGCCGTGGCATCATAAGTGAGGGTGGCTGGAGTTGGAACGGTGCTCCAAGTGGCGTCGTAGGGAACGATGCAGCCAACGGAAGAGATGTCGAGCTAGATGTGGCTGAGCTGGGGAACAAAGACGGCGCAAAGGCAGAAACAACGTCGGTGTCAGCCACGCGTTGTGCCCACCGTCGCGTCTCGCTCATTCCCAGCTCCATTTCAGCATCCACCTGCATTGGGGTCGGCAGGCTGAGGGTAGGCTCGGCAGCCTTCTTCGCGTAGTTGCGATCCACATCCATAGCGTCGTCCTCGGAAGTCGGAGCAGTACTCATGAGGTTGGCCGCGCGTATCCTTGCGGCGATTCCAGCAATGGCTCCGCTTCCACTACCACTTCCACTGCCGCTTCCGGTTAGACTTCCCGTCGGCACCTGGAATCCCTCGCTTTCACTGGCACTCGCGCTGCCGCTCCTACTTGCGACTGCACTCGCTAGAGCGGGGCTTTCGTGACCCCGTCCACTGGTATACAACTCCCGCAATTCCATTCGAATCGCGTCAAGAATGGCGTCCACGATGATGAACCCACCCGTGCGACCGACACCGGCACTACAGTGCAACAGAACCGGCGCCGCCGCGTTCCCGTCGCGTATAGCACGACCCAGAATGCCCGTCTTTTCATCGACGTCCGAATCACCTATGCCGGCAAAATCGTTGGGATTGATCGTCGGTGTCTCCTTGTCGACCTCGTCCATCACCTTTGCAACCTCCCAGACGAGGCTAAGAACACCCCGTGCGTCCTCTGGAACATTCATGTCGGGCCACCCGAGGTACTGCAGTTGCACAACGCGCCGCGGCGGGGCATGAGGATGTCCTTCGTGTGTCAGTCGGATGGTGCGTTTGATGATTTGGGACGAGGGCGATGGTAGCGGGGAATTCTTTCGTTGTGATGTGGGCCGGAAGCCGGAGAAGAAATCCCCAGCACCGGAGCCGATTGTATCTGAACTGATTCCTGAACAAGCTTGACAAACACCTGTGCAGCCGTTTGCGGCGCACCCAAGCAATTCGATCCGCAATGGGCCGTACCTGCCGGAATGCCAGTAGTTGCCGCATTTGATCACCGCCCCTTCGACCTCCTTCGTGAGCATCACGATGACATGGATGTTCTGCTGCCACAAGAGCCTAAATGAGGACCATCAGCAAAAGACCAAAGGTAGCGAAACTAGCCTTACGTCCAAAAGTCTCCATATGTCGATTCAAGCGGACCCTGAGTCGCAATGTACCGTCGGCGTGTGCCTATCGGTTGCACAAACGATGCATTGACGTAGTCATCGTGCTTGGGCGACCGAATAGGCGACTCAACAGGTTTGGCCAATCGGTTGTGCCTGTTTAGACTGATGTCGAGTTCTGATGTTGTTCCCGCAGGCATTGATGATGCCAGACGATGAAGGCGAACCCGCGCATGCTCAAACGGCCATATATTCCGATAGCTTCAGCGAAGAATCAATCAACGACTAGCTTCGTATTGACGGGAAAAGACATACCGATTC